CTGTAATTGTTAAAATTTCCAAATTTTGACAGGACTTTGCTGAACCCTCCCGCTGCTGGCAGTAGGGGAGATTCTCAGCAACAACAAACAGTAGTTCAGGTTTTTCCCCTTAAATGCTGCTTCCCTAGAAATCAAAACATGGACTGCTACAGCACATATAGAGAATTTAAAAGGAAAAAAAGGTTGGAATAAATGACTTTCCTGCCCAAATCGATGTTCCATGTGCAATGAGCCACATCTCAGGATTATGCCAAGATCCCACCCGAGTTTTTGCAGCTGCCTGGGCACTGAGATGGAAGTGTCACAGCACCGGGGGTTCCCTGCACCTCTGCCTTGACTGTTTCTCTTTCCACAGGAAAATCATTCTGTATTTACAGTTAAACGACACCTTCAGCCATTGGGAGAGCCACAGCAACAAGTGACTGCTGCATTTGGAGCAGTTTTGTGATTTTTACCTAAACAGGACTTAAAGAAATGCTGCCTCAGCAAATCCCAGCACCACCAGCAACCACTGGGGTTTATTTCTCACCATCTTCTGCTCTTGCACACTTGCTAAAACTCCGGGTAATAATACTTCCTCCTTTTACCCACTTTTGAGGTGATGAGAAACATTTTTTCCACAGAATTTTAAAATCTAACTACTGGGATGTGCCTGCTGCTCATCTTGTGTCTTGTACCTTCTGTCAAGCAGCTTAAAAATGCACAGGGAAAGCTGAAGCCATAACTGGACAAATGGCTGAAGATATCAAAGCAAACACACCTCAAGGTATCAAAGCAAACACACCTCAACATCCTTCTCCTTGGAATCAGGAAACAGAGAGGCAGCAGCAGTGAAAGCAGCAATTTAGTAAAGGTGAGGAGCAGGGAGGCAAAAATCCCCCGTGTGTCCTATCCAGGGCGAGCAAACAAATCCACATCTGGGAAGAAGGGAGAAAACAGACATGGTCTTTAAATCTGGCAAAACCCCTCACCCTGAGCTGCACAGTTAAATAGCTGCTGGCTTTATATCCAACCCCAAGCACTCCCAGCCTCTTGTGACGTCGTAAAATAAAGACATGAAGTTAATAACTGCTCCCTTGCAATATTTTTTGTTTGTTGTGTTCACAATTGAAGTTTTAGAAACAGGTTAGAAATTTAAAATGCTGGATGCCTTAAAAGCTTGGCTCTTTAATAAAAAATAAGCTCTTCTTTAGCTAAAAGCTGGTATGGCTACAGTGCTTGCTTTATAGCTCCTTTTTTTTTTGCTCCAGGCACCTCCTCTCTGTGTTTTAGCTCTGGAGTATCCAAATACCTACTTTTTGTAAAGCCTTTGGGGAGTCCATCCTCTCCCCCCTCTCATTTTGCCAGGTCAAAATCCTCCTGCTCACTGCACCAGGACAGAGCAGGGGCCACAGGCAGGCAGCAGCACCATCCTGCTCTGCTCACAGCACTCGTGGTGCCTCCAGCCAAGGGGAACGGCCCCAAATCTGGGGAAAAAACAGTCAAATCTGCTCTTCTCAAAATCCTAAATGCCAGAAGGAAATCAAGGGGAATAGCATTTACTTGTTTTTTAACGAGAAATCTGTCTCTCAGAAGCAGCTGGGTGAAAAAGAAGCATTTTCATGTGGTAGCAGCAGATGAAGACGACACTGCAGAAAATACTCAACAAATCCCTCAGTACAACCTAGAGCAGCTCCTGCAAGCAAACCAGCACGGGGCTAGCAAACATTCAGCTGACTATTCCTGCAGAATAGGCTCCCAGGTTCCTGGCCAGCTCCTCAGCTCTCACCCCACGTTGCACTAGCAGAGCGAGCACAGGAGGTATTTTAAGGAAATGAACTTTGATCGTGGCCTCCCACGAGCACACGTGCCAGGGGGTTCTGCAGAGGGGAATGCAGAGCCCTGCACTGCCACTCCAAACGCCTCCAGAGTCGTTCTGCTGAGTATTGGGACATCTTTTTAAAGGCATGAAGGGAAGGTGTGAAGGTTCAGCTCGTGCTGTTCTACAAAGAACAGGTATCTCATTGTGCCTGGGGTAGACTCACTACTACACCCAGAGCTTAGCTCCTTGATTTCTCACTACACTGTGCTAAAGAGGGGATGCAAAGCCTCTGGAAGCAGACCTCAGGCTCACTGTTGGGTGCCTGCTGCTGTCCTGGGGGGACCACTAGTTACTCAGCTTTTTATGACTCGTTTCTCAGCTTCAGAGTTCAGGCAGAGTAACGTTGCCAGCGACTCCCAGAGCAGACAGCAGCCCTTCATTTCAGAGCCCTCCCATGCCTCCGTCCTCAGACATTTTATTTCCTTAGTGCCAGCAATAAAGAGGCCCTGGTATTTTATTTTTTTTGTGTATTCTAATGTTACCAGTAACCCTACACTACTCCCCCAGCACCACAGACAGCATGGGAGTGTTATTTGCTTTACAGGCTGGAGGATGAGGCTTTTGTATTCTGCAGAATAAGGAGCAGGCAGGTGCCCTGGGGCTGGGGCTGTGCTCTGGCACCTTCTCCTTCCAGGTTTAACCAGTGGGTTCCCAGCTCTCGGGGGATGCAGGGCTGCTGCTGCTGGAGGGCTGGACATTGTGCAGCTTTCTCATGCAGAGGGGAAGCCAGCGTGTCCCAGCTGAATTCTGCCATTGCACAGATCTGATCAATGAAAGAGAAGTGCTGGGTAGGCTCGTCTATAAAACCAGGAGAAAGGTGTGAAAGGGAGAAAGGTCTGAAGGACTTTGAGATGCAAATATAACTCTAGAAAGCATGTAAACAACTCCTCTCTGGGAAGAACAGGAACACTGACACACACCCAATTGAAACGAGAACCCCACAGACAGTTTCAAGAATATATTCTTCTGATACAAGAGGTATTTGCAGAATTAGACTCCCTGAAAGTTGGAAGTGCAACCCACGGCGGGGAAGGGGGCGGGCAGGGGCCAGTTTTGATCTGTGGAGAAGGAGGGCTGCTGTAAAACTGTGCACTGATAGAAACCTGACAGTGTAGCTCATCAGGAATAGCCCCAAACATGTGACAGCATCTGTGGTAGGAGGGTAGGGGGATGAGTATCCCCTGTTTTTTTTTGTGTGCTGGCAGATTGAGCAAGTAAGATTAATTTTAAATAATTTTCCTATCAAATGCAATTTAGGCGTGCATAGAGAGCAGCTTTTGTGAGAACAGTGTGCAGAACCTCACTTAACCAGCTGAGATCCAGAAATCTCACAGCTTCACGTCGGACTCCATGTGGACCGTGGAGTGTAGAGGGACCTCAAAGAGCTGGGTAGGAACTTCACAATGTATATGTTTATTACTCGAACTCCAAAACACATAGGGAATAAAAAGAAGAATCAATATATTCTGACTTCAGAAGGAAAGAAAGAATCACACCCCACACCAACAGGCAGACAGCACAGCGTTGCGTTTCACCAGCAGTCCCCTGGCTAATGGACTTGTTTTGGGCATAAAAACTGTTTCATTTTATTTGGTGTCACAAGGAGTTAGCTCAACTGGAATAGCAGAGTAATTAATATTACCCAAAGAGGGGCATCAAAGGTAAGTGAAGGAGGTGATGGAAGCATGCAGAGGGCAGACTGGTAAAGCCTAAGGCCCCCGTCCTGCAGGTCCCTCTGTGCAAGCAGGTTCCTGAGCTCCCACAGGTCACCACTCCCAGGGACCTGCACAAAGTCACCTGCAGGACTGGGAAATCATTGTGCTTCTCAGCTCACTAGAAAGGACTCTTTTCCCTGCTCCTGCTTTGAGTGGCACGCAGGGAGCAGGCTGTTCTATTCCCTGCTGCAAAAGCACAGTGTAGGGGGGAAAAATCCTGAAAAACATTGTGCAGCACCATTGGTTCAGTCCAGAGGGCAGCTGGGACACTCAATTGCCTTTGGTGGCTTCGGAAAGTTTCACCAGCTTGGAAACAAATATTGCCTAGGTAACATCCTCACAGTGGTTGGTAGTTCAAAGAGGCTGAAACACCATCTCATTACTCTTATTAAACCAATTAACAATTCATCTCTCCTGATCCCTTCCATACACGCACACAAAAACCCCCCAAACATTTAAAAAAAAAAAAAAAATCAGAATAAAATAAATAAATAAATAAAGGCATTCCCCAAACATTTATTTTGCTCCTCTCTCTCTCTCTCTCTCTCTCTCTCTCTCAGATCAGACCAGCTTAGAGATACCAACTCCACCTACCTTCACAAATTCAGCTAGCGTACGGAGTGACACCAAACTGCTTTAGACCTGAACTGTGACACTCTCCTGGTCACTCGTCTGCTTCTGGAAACCTGTCCTGAGAGCTGGTGATGTCCAAACCCTCACTCCAGCTCCCACGGAGCTGTAACGCATCGGCTAGATGGAAAAGAAGTGTATCCAAAGCCCACAATGGCACGTTAAAGGTTGAAGAAAGCATTGGTAAAGGAGAATAAAACTACAGCAGTTGTTCAGCCTACTCTAACTAAATGTTGAGCCACTGCAGAACTCCTCCTCCAGCCCGACACAAAGTGGCTTTGTGCCACCCCCTCGCCAAGACATTCGTTTGTGGTACGTTACTGGCACTTTATGTCAGTCTCATATGGTAGATACATGCACATTTGTCTGTGTGTTTACATACAAAAGGTCTGATAACAGTAAAACGTCGTTCAGAGAGATATAAAAAACCCAAGGAGTTGCATTAGCCAAAAAAAGTGTTTTGTGAGAAACGACAATAAAAATGATATAACCACAGCTTTTCTTTTCTTTAAAATTAGATAAATACCCAAAGCTATGATTTCACTTGGGGCCTCTGTACCTTGACAGGGAGTCCAATGGAGTATATCTGAAGGCACTTAATATCCTCTACTCAGCTGTAAGATGGTTGCACAGGGAGCTGGGGAGCTTGGGATGTGATTTGGGGCATGGAGGAGAGAGATGGATGAAAACAAGCCCTGAAGAGCCGTGATCCACACAGCACCAGGCGCTGAAATGAAAACAAACGTACAACCCAGGTGTTGAGAAGGTCTCTCTTGAAAAAGAAAACTGCCAACTGCAAATGTCTTTGTGTTTCTATTGACAGAGCACTTCATGCAACTCTGACAGTGCATCATACACTCTTAGAGATATTTAGCTTTGTCAGTTCATTGACCTCCTCAGTTCCCGCTTCCTCACCGTCAGCCTTCTCCGCGGCTTGGCCAAACCTGCACCTCTCCTCTGCTCTCACCGCCTCCGCCTGGAGCTTCTTGGCGGGGGGAAGGATGTCCTTGGTTTCTGAGTTCTCTGGGCCGTGGGCTACCTTGTCAGAATTCTGTACAGAAGGCACCAGGTTGGCGATCTCGTCCGTTGGAGACCGCCCGATGCTGCCATCCACTTGAACCCGAATGTCTGGAGATATAGACAACTGGTGATGCGGCACGATCCCGTTGTCCATGCATTTTGGGTAAAGGTAGGTCTTCATCTGCCCTTTCCCCTTCACATTGACCGTCCCCCTGTAGTCAAAGTCATACCCCATCTTGCTGAGGATGCGGTAGCTCTCCTCACTCACCTGGATGCGGCACTCGACGCCGGTGGTGTCCATCCTGCTGGCGATGTTCACAGTGTCACCCCAGATGTCATACAGCAGCTTGGTGGTGCCGATGACCCCGGCGGTGAGGGGGCCGTGGTTAAAGCCGATCCGAAGCTTGAAATTAAACCACAGCATGTTGTTGTTGAAGTCGTCCACCACGCGCATCATTTCTTTGGCAAATTCAAAAAGGGTCTGCAGGTGTCCGTGGGGATGGTGGTTGTCCTGACACTGGGAGGTGTTCAGCCCCGAGGCCGCCATGTAGGTCGCCCCGATGGTTTTGATCTTCTCGATGCTGCTGTAGTGAGGTTTGCTCAGCAGCTCGTCGAAATCCCCGATCAGTTCGTTCAGGACTCTGTAGCACTCTTTGCCTCCCTCGTAGTTCTCTTCGTAGAACTCGCTGAAGTTGACGATGCTGGCAAAGATCACCCCGCCGCTGTCGTGGTTTTTGGAGTAGCTCTGGGAGACCTTCAGCTGCTCGGCCACGTGGTAGGGAATAATATTCCTCAGCAACCAGTCGGCTTGATCCCTCATGCTCTGAATTTTGGTGCGATGAAGGTCGGCCTCCACATCTCCGTGGTAGTGGAGACGGTAACTGACCTCAAACTCTCGGTTCAGGAACCAGACCAGGAGGAGCAGGAGGAAGGAAACCAAAATCACCTCCTGGCCGATCAGGTCCGCCGGCCTCTTCGTGTCGCTGGGCACCGAGCTGTTGCACGGACTCCTTCTGGAGCTGGAAGCAGAAGAAAGGGGAGAATGCAAAAGGTGCATTTAAAAACACAGGGTTAGCACGCTGCCATTTCTGCTCTGCAGTCAGAAATCCCCTGCTGGAAAAAGAAGTGTAGGAAGCGTGTGTTACATACTGAATTCTAAAACGTGCTCTGATAACTTCATCTAAAGAATTCATTTAATTCTTAAACTCACTAAGTCCTTCCTTAAAGGGATATCACCAGGTTCAGCAACACAGAAACTGCCCAGCCCTTACAGTGGTCCTGTTTCAAGGACTTCACCAAGGAAAGAGCATTCTATCTCAATACAGAACTAAAAGCACTACGTGTAAATACGTGCCTAAAACTGCTCAACAATGCCTGAGTGTGTGTTTAGCTGTGTGTGCACAGACAGGTCTGCAGGGGAGTGTGCATCTGTACGTTTTGTGGAATTGATCTTTTTTATTTTGTATTCCCCCCAATATTCAGAAACATCTGCTTTACACTCCCAGCACCTTTCCCTTGTCTCCTCATCAAACACCAGTCGCCTTTGCAGGTAACACAGGAAGGTTTTGGAAGGAGAGAACCCTGTACAAGATGCTTCATGGAGAACTGCATGAAAGTGCAGAACATGGAGCTCTGGGCTGACACCTTTTGTACATTACCACTGAAGCTTTTTATGGTGGAGACAGAAAGTTTCTCAAAGTGCCAAGATTTAAAAAAAAAAATCCAAACCAGGAAAAATTCATGTCTCACACAGATTGAGAGTAACATCTCAAATCCTCCTGACAATTTGTCGAGTGCCTGTGGAGCTGATGAAGCCCTGATGGAGAGTGCCTCCAGTGCCAACCCACCCTTACCGAGGAGACATCTGCAGCCTGCAGCCTCAACGTGCTGGAGAGACCAGAGACAAGGGTTTCATGCCACCCTGGAAACCAGGGCTAAACCCAGACACATTGGCATGCAGTGATTTTTGGTGACACTTCACTACAAAAATTTGGCTATAAATGATGCCAATGCTTAAGATTTGCTATCAGCAGACACAGGCTGAAGTTTTTCAAGTTAAGAGGTGAGAGCAAACATCACATCAACCCTTCTCCTTGGAAAACAAGGCAACCAGTATCTCAAGTGTCTGTATTTCTCCTATGAAGGCATGGTAGCAACAGAGATTAAAACTGTAGCAACAGCTCAAGAGAAGACTAAATTTGTTTCTGTAACACATGAAAACATTTCTAAACTCAGTCTGTTTCTTTATGTCCATGGGGGATGTGTTGCCACTTCTGGAGCAGCAGCAGGCAGTTTAGCCACTAAGCTATATTACAGACCCAGTTGCTTTTCCTGAATGTTCATTCCCAAATTTTTGATTGACAGAAAAGCGTGATGAAGGAAAAAAACCAGCACAGTTGTGAAATGGATGAAGGTGCACAGTCTCTGGAAATATTTCCATCTGATCCTGGTCCCTATTTGTATCTATCAGATTTTATCAGCATAAAGCCTACAGGAGAAAAAGTTTCCTGTAAGTAAAATATTTGCAATAAAAAGTTTACAGATTGAATTTCAGATTAAAGATAAGACCACGTAGTATGGTGGAAATTACTCCTTTTGTTTTCAAACATACTTCTCCCAAGAGAAGTGAAGGTACATTCATTTTATTGGTTTGATATTAAAAAAAAAAAAAAAGGGAAGAATGAAAGGAGGAAATTACTCCCAACTCACAGAATAGGTCCCCATAATTAGGTTCCTGTAATTGCTGGTGTGCTGCTGTACTAAGACTCCTTCCTTCTTCCCTTACAAATACTTTCTCAACAGAACCTCTGTCATGAATCTATCCATTTTTTCCCTAGCAAGACAAGTCAGAGACTTGAGGCCAAGTTATTAATGACTAGAATGGTACCAATTCCTGAAATACAACCACATTTTGCAAGTGGCAAAATATCCTCCCAGTTTGATGGGTTTATAGAACAAAATGAGAGGAGGATAAGTAAGAGAAAAGATCCTGGGACATATATCAGGCTGGAGAAGGTGAGGAATAACTCTTGGTAAAGGTGCACAAATCAGGTTCTTTCCAGACCCGTTCATTATTTTCCATGTCTTGTGGGTAGAGATCTGCTAGAGGATCTGAGCCATGACATGTTCCTCCCTGGAGAGTACGGGTTTGATCCAGGTAATCTGCCCCAACATCAAACACCCCTGCCACGGGGATTTATTTAAGTCATTAAAGGCTTTTTATTTACAGTTTATTGTACAAAATATTCCTCAAAGTACTTCAATTTCCCTTAAATGAATTAGGCAAGCACCACAAAGTTTACCTAGCAAGAAAAAATAGCTTGTGTTGAACACAAGCTCTGCTTTTTACGAGGCAACTGGTGCCTCCTATTTGCCACTCTTGAAGCCCTGGCATCCACAAGCTCTCAATCATCTCCCCCAGCACTGGCCTGACCCTGCTTCCCATCTGCCTGTGAAGTGAGTGACTCACTTGTAAGCTGACCTGATTTCATTAATAAGGTAATGGGTTAGTATCTCAAAAAAGAAGCTGCAGCATCTTTTCCAGAGCAGGCACTTCTGATCACGACGTGGCTGCCGCAGGCGTTCGTCCCACGAGCCACGCTGCCAGCCTGGAGGAGGGAGTCATTACATCTTACTCATTTAGAAATCAGCTTTCTGGATGTTGGAGCGACCAGGTTACAGGACTACAAATTGTCTTACACAGTCAGCCAGCAAAGATGACCTGAAGCTGCCCTTTAGAATGAATAGAAAAAATGCCACCACTCCATACAGGAAAAGATGATGCTCCCCTCAGATCTTTTTAAGGTCTACTTTTCATGAGGTGCTGCAGCAGAGAACTAATTTTAAAAGCCATTCAAACTGAAATCTTACACTGACAGTGTTCCTTTAACTCCAAGTGGTGAAGTGCTTCCTGGCACAGCCACCTAACTATTAACTTGGCATCTTCATGCAGGCTGTGTGTTGAATATGGAACGAGCGAGAGCTCTGGAGATAGAATCTCCTTTGGCTTGATCACAAATCAGAAAGATAATGGCTTTCCACTTATGAAGATTTTTGGAAAGCCATTTTGCTTCTGAGCCAGTAACCCGTGTTTGGATTTGGCTACCTTGTTCTATTTAGAGAGGATGCATGCCTGCTAAATCTTAAGAAAAGCAGGCAGTGATGGAACAGGGTGGATATGGGAACTCAACCTGCTGCTTTCCACGAAGAACATCAAGTGGGTGCATATAAAAAACCACCTCTTTACCATCAAGTGATCGTAGTCTTCCACCTCTAGTGGCCTGTTCCTCCTCGAGCAGTCACAAACAGAAAAAAATATACATCCTACCTGCTCTGAGGTAAGAACTGAATGAAAATGAGAAATATTTCCTGCTTAAAAGTCAAAGTTTATGGTCGTGTCTCTTTTGGCCTGAAGAACTGTTCTGTCTGAAAAATGAGGCAAATTCTCTATTTTGACTTATTGAGCACAGCACAGAAAGTCCAGAGATGAACTTTGTGCTGAGACTTCATTACTTCAGACCTCATATCTCTCTTCCCTTGCAACATTAATAATTATCTCAATTCTTGATCAAGGGAAGGGAATAACTTCATTAAAGGCATGCAAAACGAATGAGTTTGTTTGGCCCTCTCAGAAGAGAGGAAAAGCTTTTGTGCTGACTGGGGTAAGCAAGGAACCTTTTTTATTTATTTATGAATAAAATTAGAGAGAAAGGAACAGCAGAAGAGTCAAAATAAGGGAGCTTCATTTTTTCCAAATTTTGTTGCAAATTGATTTGTTGCCAAATTCTGTTGCAGATGAATGGTAGGAGCAGAACAGGATTAACTCCTATCCTCTTTTAACTTCCAGCACTTAAAACAGTTGTGTTAATTCACAAGTTTGGGCAGTGTTAGGTCAGTGGAGCCTGGTCTGTTAACAGAGATCCTGCTGGACTGATAAAACTCCTGCACTAAGGCAGAGACAGAGACCAACCAACCCGACACAACCACTGCCAACGCACCACGGGCTCCTGCGGTTCTTCCCCAGCCAAAGGGGTGACAGACAAAACACACATCTACATCTCAAAATAAAAAGTTAAAAATAAGTTTAGAGCTGTTTAATGAGCGGGATATTTTGGTCACGGCCCTTATTTGGCATTTCAGTCACAAGCCAGGATTTGGAAAGCAGGCGCAGAGCTCCACGCCTGTCTGCAGGAACATCTTTGGCATGGTTTGGTTCTTCTTCCCCATCCCACCACTATTTGCTGTGAGTTAAAGGTTATCTGATCTGTTTAGGGAAGGAAAAAAATATTTGCATGCAAACAATGCTTGCTAGCTAATTTTTTGACAGATTTCTAACACGTGATGATGTAGAAACAGTCACTGAACAGAGACTGGGTTGTCAATTATTGAAGGCACAATGAATTATTTACTAGTGATCAGCAGCTGGTCAGGAGCCTCCTAAGCTGTTGTCAGCGCTGGGCCAGACGTCTGTAATTCTGAGCAGCACAAAAGGTTCAGTGATTTCACAAATTAATCATAAACCTCTAAGGATCCAAACTCAGGCTAATCCTAAAACTCTACTCCCTGTGATCACCATGCTTTAATATTTCGTATGCTGCCTTTCCCACAAATCTCCTTCATTGTTTTAGTTTATAAAGAAATCAAGCTGCCTCTGTTCTTGTGGCTCTAACTCCCCGTGCTGGGAACTGGAATGCTGTTGTGAAAATGAAGTTATCTTTCCTGAATCAAAGCCATACAAAAAAAGAAAACCCACGGAAGAAAAACCAAACCAAACCCAGTGCTGCAGTATGCACTAACTTGTTGGTGAATACAGATCTAACCTGAAAGCATGGTTATCATCTCTCTGCACTTAAAACCCCCCTGTTTTCTAAACTACTGTAGCATTCATGTAGATGACACCTTTTAAAAAGTAATTTTGTTTTGATCCATGCTCCCAGTAAAAGCAACACACACCTGAACATGGGTTTGTTCAGATGAATTACTGAGTCACACTTTCACAGGGTCATTAGTTCAAGCACGTACAACCGTGCCCCAGGATTGCCCCCAACTTTGTAATTAGCAAACACATACTGTTCTAATACCCAAGACCAATAAAAACACTTGTAAAAATGGTGTTGCGAAACTTACAATAAACCCAGGAGTCATTCAACACTGAAATAATCAGAGTGAATCTTTAATCTGTTTTTTTTTTTATAAGGGGCTATTAATAATCCAGGAAAAGGATTTCTGTTAGTTAGTTTAAAAGGCTGGGGGCTAGTGTTTCATGTGCTCGCCACCTCTGAGTTGCTGTTCTGCCTAAGTGGGCTCAGGGGGGGCAGGCAGCACCCAGCCTGGCCCCCCCAGCACCATGCCAGCCTCACAGCCAGCTTTTCCAGCTCAGGCTCTGCAACTCTCCCCTGGCCAGCTGCAGTGGGCGGCCAGCTCCAAACGCTTTGCACTGAATGGTGCAAATCAGCCAAGGATATCACATAAATAGCTCCTGGTGCACAGATAATGCCTTAAAAATTGCTACTATTAGAATAACAGATGCTATTTTCTACAGCTCCTCCATAGCTCTATCTCCCAGAGATCAAATTTTGAAAGAAAACAGCATTACACAACTCAGTGACTGCGGCGTCGGCTCGCTGATGATTTTTGGCCATACCCAAGTCCTCTGTAAAGGAAATGACATACTCGAGGAGCTAAACAACTGGCTGAACCCATTTCTTCAATTCCCAAGTGTACTACCCTAGATGCAAAGTTTTGCTCCAGGTAATTGACTGAATGTTTCTATCCCTAAACAAAGATAGTAATTGTATATAAAAGCTTACCTAAAGTTCTGTGCCAGATCTAGATGAAATGTTTCCACGGAGCTGAAATAAAAAAAGCACTGATTTCAGAAGGAAAGTTAAAGCAATAAACAAAGCATCCTGCCAGAATTCCAGCTGGCGTTTTAAACCTTTCTATTATGCAGACTGTAGGACCAATAATTGCATTGCATGCTTGAGCAGCTTCAGACAAACTTTGTCTGAACGTGACTTATCTGCACTTTTTGCTGGGAAGAAGCAACCAGCCAGAGATGGGAACCCCTCTAAAGAGGCACTGATGGGAACACAGGCAAGGAGATGCCTGCAAGGAATAATTGCTAAATAGCCCAGTCTTACCTTGGAAACATAGAAAAGCGATTTCAGAACTCTAAAACCCAGTTATGCCTTCACCTTATCTGACCACACAATACAAAAACTTAAAAAACAACACACAAAACCCAAACCCACCCTGTAACAAAAGAAATCCCAAATAAACACAGAGCCTATTTTTGAAAATGCCATTACAGACAAGAAATAGTTCAAGCAATTTCTGTGTTTAGTCACACCATAATTTCTCTATCACGGTCAAGTATTACAACTCTCAGGATTAGTTTTGGAAAAAGAAGTGAAGAAATCTTCAGAATGGATTTGCCTGTGATCCACACAAAGCCACAATCACCACTGTGACAAAAATAATATCACAGAAATCATTTTGGGACCATTAAGATCATTGAATACAACCACATCTTACCCAGGCTAGTGACAAGAGAGGATCAAAGAAGTTATTATTAACAAAGGTTATAGGTCTCACTAGTTCAGTCTGTCTTATTTTGGTTCCTGATAAATTCTTTAAATCACCTTCTTAAATCTGTAGTTGAACAGCTCTATTACCTTAAATATTTATTTTTAAAAGATGAAATAACATATTCCATGATTCTTCGCCCGTTAATTGTCACAGCTGTTCAAACCACAGGGGAAAATATGTTAACATTAGCAAAATTTCTTAAGGTAATGTTTCTTTAACATTCACACCACCTCTTTAGCAGTCAGAAAAGGCTGATGCTGTGAACTGGTACAACAGCAAGGTCTCCACCACTCTGCTTGGGAACAGCCTTTCCCAAGAGAGTTGAAATGCAAGGAAAATAGCAAGTTTTGTGTCTTTCTTTCTGCACAGTCTTAATCCAGAGCTAATTTAGTAATCACACAGGTATGATCTAAAGGTTTGTGGATGAATAAGGAATTGGGAGTTCCAATGATGGCACCAAACCTTCCGATTGTCTTCTCTGACAAAATGTTTGTGCCACAGATGCACAGAAAGCTGCTCAAACAGCCACTCAGGGATGGCAACTGCTCTGGGACCTTCCTCAGCCTTGGGCTTGAGTGCCTGCTGTTGTGTGAAGACTTCTGATACTCCAAACACATCGTATTACTCTGTTTGAAAAGACTCTGCCATGACCCAGCACCTGGTTATGCCACACTAGCTCCAAGCAGACACGTGTGGTTTAACAAGCTGTGAGAATCCTGCTTGGGGGGGTTATGGAAGGGTGGCCAGGGGGTCAAGAACTGGCAGCAAGGGTTTGCTCTTCACTAACTCTCCCTGAAAAAGCAAAGCTGGGGCTAACTTCTCAGGTGATGGCATCAGTGTCAGAAAGGAAAAAGGCAACGGGTGGAAAGTCAGCTGCCTTACTGGGAGAGGGTCACTCAGGGGGCTGGAGGAGGGGTGATGCTGGATGCACTGGACAATGAAACCAAAGACAAATGAAAGGTGAGAAAGGGGAAGCATCCAGAGGCTAAACACTACTTCCTCCCACTGACATGAGGGAGAACTGTCCTGTGCTCCTTGCCTGAGGACTCAGGAGATGAAAAGGGAATAGTCTTTAGTCTAATAGGATCTAGAAACCATTTGTCAACTGACTCTGGAACCAGGTTATTATTTTTCCAAGGAAATTTCCAAGCCTTTCTTCCCACAACCCTCATAGCCATTCCCAAATTGCAGATGTGACTTTTATTCTCCCTGTCTTTTTTCATATAAATTAGATCAAGATTAAAAGAGACCATTGAAGCTACTTAAAGAGAGGAGTAAAACCTAAACACACAAACTCCATGTGTTTGCAAACTCTTCTTGGTTTCTTTGGGAAATTTTCATGTTTTATACCATAGGATTCTACAGGCCTCTGAAGAAGGGATAGGAACCAGAGTAATCCAGCATAGGAAGTCCCTGCAGAGTCCACACTATGGTAAGCATACCAAGGGCTATCAGATTTTTCTTTTTAAAGCACTGAGGATTGCAAGTTGCTTATAAAATTTTGACAATAGGAGTGGATGGTTGGAAGGACTCCCTTGACCCTGCTGGCAAGAAAATAGAAGGAGAATACAGCAAACAAGTTCTCCTATGGGGAAAATTGCTTATCAGAGGAAAAACTGAAAAGCCTTAAAGCCGTTGCACAGGAACTGCATTAACTCGATTCCTCTGATTACTCTCTTGCAGTGTCCTCTGGAAAGGCAGGAAAGTGAGAAAGGAAACAGGGTATTAGAATCCTGTTACAACTAAACACCTGCCTTCTACAGTGGAAAACTCCTTGAGGAAGGAGGTGGAAGACAGACACACGGTTCCTAAGCGTAAATATAAATCCAGAGGGGTGGCAGGGGAACAACTGGGCTCTCTGGCACAACTAAATGCCTCAGAAATGTCTTAATAAAATAGATTTTCCAGCCAAATGGTGAATTCTATGAGTCTGATAAGGATAAGTGTGCCCTAGAAACACATCAGTTGAGGGCAGTGTAATTTCAAAAGAGATTACAGGAAAGGGCCACTCAGACAGTGTCCTGAAATCCTTAAAAAGAAATAAAAAAAGGCAGAACTTTTCCCAAACAAAATCATTGGAGAAAGTCATGGCAGATACTAAAATCCCATATGTTAGACCTTCACTTTGCAGGAGGAGAGAAGCAAATCTGCTCATCTCAAGCTGAGTGCTGAGGTGTGATGCTCACCTGTCTGGACACAAGGAGACGTAGAGCAGAATGAGCAGCACTGCTCCTACTACGGTTGCCAACAGAGATCTCATCCAGGAGCTAAGCTGGCAGAAGTTGCAGTACTGCACAATGGTGATGAGAATGGCACAGCACATAAACATGGTGTACTGCAACAGAGAGAGAGAGGGTGAGTTAGCTTCCTCCTGCTGACCACAGCCCTTCTGCACGCCACTGCCAGAGAGAGTGAAAGATTGTGCAAAGTGAAGAAGAAGGGTCTCTTTTTGTCTGTATTACATGCACAGTATGGAATCCCTCAGTGTCTGTGCCAGAAGATTGCATCTGAAGGTGGAGGTCTTCCCTTCAAGGAGTAGGAACACTTTTAGCACTGATAGTTTGTCACAATTTTCCCTAAATGGAGTTTTGCATTACTGCGTTACACAATTGTTATCCCAGTAACTTTCAACAGCTTCAGCTTACCTGTGCAAAAAGCTCAGTGCCTCTTCTTATTAAAAAAAAAAAAGAAAAAGAAAGAAAAAAAGGTAAAGAGGCCTGGTAACCTCCTCTCAGCTGCTGGGGTTAGACTCTGTTTTAAACTGAGTGTCACAATTCCACTGTGTTGAAAATGGGGAACATACTCACCCTCAGAGACTTCACCCTGCTGCCTACTTTTACAAACACTTCTTGAGGACACTATCAGCAACAGATGAATTCAAAGAAGATAAACTCTGGTTTGGTAACAAAAGGCAGGTATCAGTTGCTGCCAACTGATGCTTGGTAACACCACCACTTGTGCCAATTGGAAAGGGCAATTTTAGATTTTCTGTTCCAAATGCCCTACTTCAAAAACCCTTTCCCTTTCCAAATCTTTACTGGATAAAGAGAGGGAAGTGCAGGACAGATATATTGCCCACAACATCTTCATTTCCTCAAGATACAACCTTACAGTGGTCAAAATTCTCAAGCTGATGTACAAATTTGGGTTTTATCAAGAATATTCATGACCATCCAAGCTAAAAGAGACTCCACCACTGCCTTCTGGAGTTCTGTTCCAGCTACACACTGCATTTTACAGTATCAAATGATCATTCTCTCTCATTTTACATTCCCTTTACAGCTCAAGTGCAGAGACTGCAGATTACCAATACTGTAGCATAACAAATAAGCATGTGATTCAGAAGTAGACACAGTGGATGGGAAAGAAAACTTACATAATTTACCATTTATAAACCACGAGCAGAGTTGTTGTTTTTTTAAATGACTCAAAAATGGGTAAAAGGAATTTCAGAAGCGTCCATAAAACCCCTATAATTTAAACTTACTTTTTTCCCCCCATTTCAGGTCTCCTAAAGTGGCAGAGCACTGGTTCTCACTCCAAGTGATGCCCCAGCCTATAGAGGGTCAGTACGTGCTGTGTTTTACTATGTACACATGGCTTTGGAAAGTTTTTTTTGTTGTTGTTCATTGCTGTTTTTGTTAATTTCGATTTTAATTATTTTATATCCAGGGAGGGTATAAAATGTTATGATTAAAAAAAAACTTTGCAAAACCATGTCATAGTAAAATATGACACTTACCTGACCCTCTATAGCTTAACTCCACTTCCTAGAGCTCCGTGACTGTGGAAACACTGAGCACAAGACGAGTTGGGACATCTCTTGGAGAGTGAGCCAACAACCCCACGACTCTGGAGGACCTGCAAGAGGAAAGAAAGCAAAGTTCATTCTCAGATTGGTGCTGAACACCAGCACCTCACTGCTGCTGCCTGAGCCACGCAGATTATTCACAACAACCTGATTGGAACAGGTATTGAGAATTCACTAAAAAAAATGGTTCTGGCCAATGTTATTTTTAAACGTTTGGAGAGATGATCAAGGATGGTGATGAATGGGATGATATAAAAACCAATGGACAGATTTGAAAGTATTCAACTCCCTTCAGCATGAGGAGTTGTCCTACAATTAGTTTACTGGTAGTCATGAGGGAAGAAGACCATCATTAGACTGGAAAAAAAATAATAAAAAATTTTCAAGCTCAAAATCCTTCACTAATATTGACAAAAGGCAAAGGCTGCAGAATGATTTTAAACATGGGATGTGAAAGAGTATGGAATACACTCTTCTGGGACTTCCTAAATCAGGAAGGACCAAAAAACATCTGGTCTACACGTTCCCCTGGAACAAACACTTCCCAACACCCAGTAATAAACTGTGACAGGAGGAATGACGAGGATCTGTCGTTACCTAAGCCCAGGGCCCTGAAACAGCAAGAGATCTGTGAAACAGAATTCCCTCAAGATCCTGGAGAGGAAGGATCTGTGCTACCTAAGAGAGATCTGCAGAGAAACAAACTTTCACCTCTGGTTCCAGCCCATTTTATTCACAGGCAGTTTTTAAGCACTGATTTTATGCTACAGTTAGCCTCTCAGTTACATTATTCTTCCCTCTCTTCAATATTTTAACCCCTTGTTCCCTCCTTCCGAGTGTTTTTCTTAAAGGAGAGACTAAATCCCCCCTGGACCCTTTTGTGGCTGGCTAAATATGCCCATTTCTTCCTGTCCCTTTTCAGAGGACAGCTATTGCATTCCTTTAGCCATTCCTGCAGCCCCCCCAGGGTGATCACTTCTATGTACTGAGAGCTCTCTCCTTTGAGTTCCTCCATCTAACTCTGCAGAGAAAAACCATCCCCTGCCAATACTGTTCTCACTGTTGAGATCCACTTGGGCACATGCAGTTTTTCAGTGTACACAGCATCTCTGACTACAAACTCTACATCAAACCCAGAAGGAGTGAAATGGGAAGCCTCAGATGCACACCCTGTATTAGGTAGAATAAACACCTGCAGAAGTGCTTGGTCTAAGGAAACCAGTAGGTATGTAGACAGGCATTTATAGATATCCCTCTGCTCTTTTGTGTGAGTTTTCAAATAAGCAAGTGACTTTGCATAACAAAGTAAGCATTTCATCACACACAAAGCCCTATCCCTCCCAGGGATCTGTGTCAGACAGATGTAAAGCAGGAGGGAGGTGAAGGGAGCCGGCAGGCAAGCAACAAGCATCCTCAGATCCAAAACATCAGATTGTGAAATGGAGTTCGACAACTTACATGTATATTTGTTTCAAAATCAGAGGTGAAGTGTGAAAAAACTGCAAGAGCTGGGAGAGAAACCAGGATTGCACCGAAAAAATGTCGAGGCAGCCAGCCAGATATCACCTCCAGGAGACGCTTGGTGCAAGTCATCACCTCCTCCAGGAAGAACGCCATTCTGGAAGAGATGCAATCACAGAGGTGTTAGCTCCAGCACATCACTTCAGCCAACGTAACCCCAGAGCCTTCCCTTGGACTGCACGAGCAAGCCCAGTGTGTTACACACCACAGCACCCCTGGGTTAGCTCAGGAAATGACCCAGCTTTGCTGGGAGGTCGCTGGTGGTTTGCTCCAGCAAGGGGAGTCAGCAAACACAGGGAGAGCAGTGGGATGGTGGCCTTTGAGAAAACAAATCAGAATCCCTCTTTCACCTGTGTGGATGGTAAGTGGAGGGAAGACATTCATAAATACTCAGCCTTACAGCAGGTGGGGAGAGGGGAAGCTTTTACAAGCTAAAAAAGACAGAATAACAGCAGCACCATTTGAAAGACAGGGCTGTGTACCCTGCTAGAGCTCCATCACCCGGAGACCGCGCAAATCACATCGCACCGCAACCCAAACCAGTCCTCCCAGTTACAGCCAGCCCGAGAAGCTCCTGTCTGCAGCCAGACTCCACTCCCTCTCATTAGGGCTGGGGAGGAGGAGTGTGGGCTGAGAGCTGGCAGCCGAGC